GTTCCACAGTGGTTCTAGAATAACCAATGCATACATAAGATATGGCTACAGAAATGAACAATTCACTATGCGGCAGATAGTACATCCACCAACAGCGTACTCCAGCCGCAGGATCTCCCTGTTTACTGGAGATTTAGATTCCATGGCAGTTCCAGAATGACAAAAGCCAGATCCATTATAGCTCGAGACACTAACGATTGAGGACACAGTGCTCAGTACAGCCGTCATCACAGAGCAGGAGCCGTTGGACTAATAACCCCACTGGTAAATTATACTTGCCACAATTCTAGAATAATCAATATATTTTACGGTTACGGCTCGAGATATTTAAAATTGGCAGCGCGGTACGCAGTGCATCCATCAGCAGAGCACTGTAGCCGTTGTATTGATCTGTACAGTGAAGATTTAGATTATGAAGCAACTGTAGAATTACAGAAGTCAGGTCCGTTGTATCTCGAGATGTTAACAATTGACATAAGAGTCCAGAGTTCAGCCATCAGCACATTACTGCAGCCGTTGTATTAATACGTCCACTGATGATTTAAGGTACAAGGCAGATCTAAAACCGGCTATGCATACATCAGCGATGGCTGCAGATATTTACAATTCTCCAGTTCAGTGGCTTATACGTCCGCCGATGAAGTACAGCAGACGTTGGATTATTCTGATCATTGATGGTTTAAATACATGAGAATGTTTATGATTGCCGATGTGCAGCACGGTTATGCCTAGGGATATATACAGTTGACAGTACGGTTCCTTGTACATCTGTCAACAGAGCACTGTAGCCTTTGCATTGATCTGATCAATGCTGGTCCGTATTCCGCTACAGTTCTAGATCCAGAAAGCGCAGATCCGTTATACCTCGCTGCATTAGCAACTGACATCACAGTACTATGTATAGCCATCATCAGAGTACTGTATCAGTTGGATTAATCTCATCGGGGATGGTTTATATTCCACAGTAGCGCCAGCACAATCAATGTATGCATCATATTTGGCTATTGATACATACAATTCCTGGTATGGTAGTTGGTACACCAACCAATGGAGCTCGGTAGCCGTCGGATTGATCTGTTCAGTGATGACTTAAACTCCACAGTGTTTCTAGATTACCCAATGTGCCCAACCGGTAAGGCTAGATATATTAACAATTCACATTACGGTTGCCGGTACATCCACCACCAGAGTACTGAAGCAGTTGTATTGACCTGCATTCAATAATGATCTATTATCAATGGCAATTCTAGTATGACCAAAGGGAGACCCATTATAGCTCGGGACAACAGCTGTTGACATTAGAGTTCCGAGTACTGCCATCATCACAGTACTGAAGATGTTGTATTAATCTGTTCACTGATGATTTAGTTTCCGCAGTAGTGTTAGGATAGTCATTGTATACATCAGTTATGGATACAGTTATTTACAATTCCCAGGACGGTAGTTGGTATATCCACCAGTAGAGCACTGGTGTCGTTGGAGTAATCTGTTCTGTGATGCTTTAAATCCTACTTTAATCCTAGAATGACAAGGAACTGTACTGTAATCGCGCGAGACCTTATCAATTGGCGAAACTATGTTGAGTATAGCAATTATTGCGTTACGTTAGCCGTTGCATTAATGTGTACACTGCTTATTTCAGTTTGACGGAAATTCTAAAGGGGTTAATGTACAGTACGGATGTGGCTAGTCATTTCTGCAATTTACAGTACGTTTCTTCGTACATCCATCAGCAGAGCGCTGTAGAATTGGATTACTCTGTCCATTGAAGACTTTCACTACACAGTAGTTTTAGGATAAACAATGCATAGATAAGTTACAGCTAGGTATATGTAAAAATGAAAGTTATGATCTTAGTACATCCATTAACAGAGCACTGTAGCCGTTGGATTAATCTGTTCAGTACGCTTATGAGAGCAGACGTTTACAATTGACAGTGCGGTACTTACTACATCCATCAACAGAGCACTGTAGCCGTCAAATAAGGCTGTTCAATGATGACGTAGATTCTATGGCAATTTCATTATGACAAAAGGAGGATCCGTTATTGCACGGGGTATGAACAATTGATAATATTGCGAGGTGTACAGCCATCACAACCTGCTGCATCCGTTTTATTAATCTATTCACTTATGATTTAAATTCCACAGTAGCTCTAGGATAATCAATGCATGCATCAGTTATGGCTAGAAATATTCTGCAAATCCCAGTGCCGTAGTTATTTTAAACACCTATAGAGCGCTGTAGCCACTGGATTAATATGTGGAGTGATGATTTAAAATCGATTGCAATTCTAGACTGACAAGGGACTCAGCCATTATCGCTCGAGAACCTAACAATTGACGACGAAGTACTGAGTTCTGATATCACCGTAGTACCTTAGCCGTTGGAATAATTTTTCATTGATAGTTAAATTTTAACTTCAATTCTATACTAATCAATATAGAGTACGCATATTACGTACTATATTTTGAATATTCTAGAATTCCGGCTATATTTACATTGTCAGTGGAGAAGATAGTCTAACGACTATTGTACTGTGATGATGGCTCTGCTCAGTACTCTTATGACCATTGTTAATATCCCGAGCAGTAACGGATCTTTTTCTTTTTTATTCTAGAATTGCTATAGAATATATATCATCATAGAACACTTCCGTCCAACGAATACTGTGCTGTGTTGATAGATGTGATAAGGGCACCTCTGTCCACTGTAAAGACATCTATCCACAACCGTGCTATAAAATGGTTATCCAAAACCTGCATTGGAATTTTATCCATCTCCGAAGAGATTAGTACGACGACCACAGTGCTCTATCCGTGGATCCAGCAAGTACCGTACAGGGAAATGAAAATATCTCCAGCAATTTCTGATGTATACGTTGATCAATCCAGAACAACAGTGTAACGTATGTCAGAAGTGTACAAACAAACACAACGGCTACAGTAACGTGATGATGATTGTACTCAGTACTGTGTTGTCAGTTGTCATTCTAGAATTGCAACAGAATCTATAACATTTCTGAACAGATTAATCCACCGGCTACATTGTTGCATTGGTGAATGTACCAGTCACCGTACCGGGAACTGTAAAAATCTTTAGCCATAGCGGTACCATGTAGTGATTATTTTAGAATTGCTGTTAAATCTAAACTCTCAGGGAACGGTTTAGTCCAACAGCTGGAGTAATGTGATGATGCCAGAACTCATTACTGTTTCGTGAATGGTTAATATGTCGAGCAACATCGCGTCGGTTCTTTCTCATTCTAGAATTACAATGGAATTTAGATCATCATTAAATAAGTGAATACGACAGCATCCCTGCACTGTAAATGAACATACTAGGAACCGCACTGTCAATAGGAAATATCTGTAGCCATAACGGTCCTATAAATTTCTTATTCCAGAATTGCTTTGGAATTTACATCATCAGCGAACAAATTTATTCAACGACTACTGTGCCCAATAGTTAGATGCACCAACTACCGTACTGGGGACCATATATATCTCCATCCATAGCTGGTGCATGTATTGATTATTCCCAAACTACTGTGGAATTAATGTCGTTAGTGATCCATTTAATCCAATGCCTGCAGTACTGTGATGATGACTGTGCTTAGTACTCTGTTGTCAGTTGTTAATTTCCCGAGCTATATAGGATAAGGCCTTTGTCACTCCAGAATTGCAATAGTATATATTTCATCACTGACCTCATGAATCCAGCGGCTACAGTGTGCTATTGGTGGCTGCAGCTATTTCCGTAAGGGGCATTGTAAACGTCTCCAGCTATAAGAGACGTATCCATTGATTATTCCAGAACTCATGCGGGACACAAGTCTTCACTGAACAGATAAATCCAAGGGCTACAGCGCTCCCCTGGTGGATGCACCACCTACCGTACAGGGATGCGGTAGGGATACGTATATGTCTCAAGACATAACTGAGGCATACATTGATTATTGCAGATATTCTGTGGAATTCAAGTCATCAGTGAGCAAATTAATCCTACTACCACTGTAATGTGATGATGGCTGTACCCAGCACTATCCTGGCACTTGTTATCTTCTCGGGTGAAGGTATTGTAGGAATTTTATTTATAATGGCAGCAAAACGCTCGGTGGTACGGAATAAAACTAATTTATTGATAACCAACTTACTCGAAGCTTACGGATATTGCACACACTGTCTCCCAAAGATATACCCGAAGAACTGCTCGACATACGTACCAAATCAAACCAAAACTAAGTACAACGTGCTGCGACCTACTCCACCATACTGCTACATACTCCACCGCACTGCACGTTTCGTGCCCTCGCATCCCTATTTATACCATATACTCTGTCCTCCTTCATGCACATGCTCTCCTTCCCAATCATCCTTCACCACGCACCCTTCGTTGCTTCGCACTCAGTGGGTCGCGTACCCTTAAGACTCAGATGCATTCCAGGAGACACTCTTCGCTTGAAGCCGATATATTCATAAACGTCCAGCCTACATGATCCATGCGTACTGCCACTCACCCTTCCGCACGCACTCCAGATAATACCTCGGACGCTCGAGTCAAACCTGAGTCTTCCGTCCGTTGCCATTTATATACGGAGAAGGATCCAAGCGTTTCCTCGCGCTTTACGGACACACCTAGGAATAGATAATGGAAATACCATTCCTACACCCAGCCGCTCTTGCAAATGATATCTAACCTCATATATCGCGATTCGTCACTCGAACAATCACTCCAGCAGTCGAGGACGCTCATACACACTCCATGTATAGAACAATTTCATCTGGTTTTCGGCCGTACTTCAAGAATGAAGGCATTGTCCGATTTTCCTGCCAAGTTGCCACTATCGTAGTCGCCCGATTTTGGTCGGAGAGGATCACGGTCAAGGACCCTACTGCACCTCTGGCCGTCGTTGTACCGACATACCCTAGGGGTGCTAATACCTCTTCCAGTGCGTCTCCTCCTCGTCTTCACCCTCGTCCTCGTCCTTTTCTTTGTCCCTATGTTCGTCTTCGCTGTGGCTCATTCCCGTCACCCGCACCATCGCCCTTCTCTCCGTCCTCGCCCTCGCCCCCAGCCGCGATTCCTTCATCCTTGGCCTCGTCCTTGCCCTCGTGATATTCACTCTCGCCTTCGTTCTCGTTTTCGTTCTCGTTCTCACTCCCGCCTTCATCCTCGTCTTCATTATAGTCTCCGTCCTCGTCTTCATTCATGTCTTCATTCTCGTCTTCGTCCTCATCTTTGTTCGCGTCCTCACTTTCTTCTTCATTCTGGTCTAAGTTCTCGTCTTCGCTCTCGCAATCGTTCTCGTCTTCATTCTCGTGTTCATTCAGGTCTTCATTCTCTCCTTCACTTTCGTCTTCGTTCTTGCCTTCGTCTTCGTCTTCGTTCCCGATACCATTTTCGTCTACATACTTGTCCTCGTCCTCGTCTTCGTTCTCGTCTTCATCGTCGTTCGCACCATCGGCCCTTCCATTGACCACATTGTTACTCTTCCCGTCGCTCGCGTCATCGTTCCTTTCATCGTCCACGTCTTCGTTTTCACCGTCCATTTCGGGCTCGTGATCTTCGCTCCCGTCTTCTTCCTCGTTTCCTTTGTTGCTCCTCCCGTCGCTCGCACCATAGTTCTGACCATCGTCATCATTCTCACATTCACCGTCGCTATCGGCCTCATGACCTTCGACCTTGTTTTCTTCCTTGTCTTCATTGTTGCAATTCCCGCCGCTCGCGCCATCGTTCTTTCCGTCGTACTCGTAGACAATTCCGTCTATCGTCTTTCCTCCTAGCACGACTGCCGGAAGCACATTCTGTATCTCCTCGTCGTCGCTTTCTTGCAGCAGCCTGCTCAAACCTGCCTTCTTATTCTGGACGGCGTCGGTCTCCTCGTTCACTGCATGACAGGAACCCAAATATTTCTCACCTTTCTCGGATTCCACGTCATATAGTTCTTTCCCTTCGCTCGCACTCGCGCGCTCGCGAACTGCGTGGACACTTGGGCCAGAGCCATCTCCATGATGATGGTCGGCTTGATCCTCTCTCCTTTTTTCGGGTACGGGATCTCCTCCTGGTCGTTCAGTCAGACCCTCAGAATACATGTCGCTTTCCAGCTCCGATCCGTACCGTAACAATTTCCTTCCATTAGGGGACGAAGGACCAGTCCATGTCGTTTGCGTAGAACTCAGTTGTTCCCCGTGCCTTCACGCCCCGTGCGCCAACGGCCAGATGCCAGGATTCACGGACACTCCACTGCCAATGGACGATGCTGTTGCGCTCGGCGGAGGATGATCACTGCTAGGCGGGGTTCTCGGTTCCCTCTGGTTGTACAGGCACCCCGGTGTTTCTGGATCAGTACCAGATCGCTACTCGCAGCAGTCGCTCTCTGTTCCGCCTTGAACCACGGTCGACGCCCTGCTGCTACCCATAAGGTCGTACCATAATACCCATAATATAACGTACTGCACCATACTCCACCAAACTGCACGCTTTGCCACCTGGCATCACTATTTAAACCACATACCTCATCCTCTTCCATGCCCGTGCTATCTTTCCCATTCACGCTCTCCCAAACACTCTTCGATGCCTCGCACTCATTGGGCCATGTACTCTAAACACTCAAATGCATTCCTGGAGACACTCTTCACTCGTAACCTTTACATTCATAAACGTCCCGTTCACACGATCCTTGAGGAAGGTCACTCATCCTCCCGCACACACTCCAGATAATACCCCGGACCCTCGAGTCAAACACGAGACGCCAGTTTAATGCCATTTATTTACGGAGAAGTGCCCACGCATTCCCTCGCAATTTACAGATGTGCCCAGGAATAGATAAAGTAACACCATTCCTACAATGTATCTCTCCTTTGCCATTCTAGTACTTACATTTGACATAAATCATCGGTGAACAGGTAAATGAAATGTTTACCGTGCTCAATTGGTGGATATACGAAGTATCTTGTTGTCAGCTGTAAATATCTCTAAACATAACCGCCCTGTGCATTGAACAATCTAGAATTGCGGTGCAACATTCATCGTCAGTGAACAAATTAACACTATGGCAACAGTGCTCTGTTGGTGGATGTTGCATGTAACGTACGTTGTGATGTCGAAATTTCTAGACATAACTGATATATCTATTGATTATTCTAAAATTACTGAGGAAGCTATGTCATCAGTGTACAAGTTAAAACGACAGACACATTATTTCGAAGAGGGCTATATTCATTGTCGTTTTGTCAATTGTTATTACTCCATGGGATGATGCATCTCCCTTTTGTAACCTCTGAATGGCTATAGAACATGTATCTTCAGTGACCTCATTATTCAAACGTGTACAGAGCAATGTAGGTGGGTATACTCTGTATTGTATTTACATAAATCAAAGTTGCCACCGATAATTTCTTTATGCATTGAATATTCTACAACTGCTGAAGAATCTAGATGATCATCGAAAAGATTAGTTCAATGCTTAAAATTTTGTGTAAATGGCTGCACTGAGTACTGTATTGTCAACTGACTATGCCACCACAGATGAATGATCCATGCTTTGATCACTTCATAGTTGCTGAAGAGTTTGAAACATCAGTGAACCTACTAGTCCAGCGCCTATTGTGCTGTATTGGTGGACTTACTAAGTACCGTACTGTCAATTGCAAATATTTTTGGCCATAAATAACACACACAATGTCTATTCTACTATTGCCGTGGAACAGTAATCCTCTGGGAACATATTAGTGCAACGGCTACAGTGCTCTGTTAGTGGACGTATCAAGTGCCGCAGTCACATTTGTTAGAGTTTGTGGCCACAATTGACATATGAGTTGATAATTTTAGAATTCGAGCGAAATTTATAGACTCAGTTTACAAATTAACGCAACGGCTATAGAACTGTGGTGATGGCAGTACTCAGAGACGTTATTGCAATTGCTGGTACCTTTAGCTGTTACGCATCTCTCTTTTGCCATCCTAGAGCAGCTATAGAATATACATCAACTTTGAACAGGCTTTTTCAACTGCTACATGTCTCTGTTGTGGATGTGAGAAATAATGTACTGTCAACTCTAAATATCTGTATCTATAACAGTACTACACATTGATTATTCTAGAAATGCAGTTAAAATTGAGTTATCGGTGAACAAGTTAGCCCAACTGTTAAAGCACTGTGATCGTGGCTGAACTCAGGACCCTTTCGTCAGTTGCTAATGTCTCAGGCGATAATGGGTTAGTCATTTGCCATTCCAGAATTGCAGTAGACCTTATATGATTAGCGATCTGATAAATCCAACGGCTGCAGTTCTGTCATGATTCCAGTATTCAATGCCGTTATGGCAATTGCTAATACCTTGACCTGCAACGGATATGTCGTTTGTCATCCTAGTGTTGCTATAGTGTATACATCATCACTGAAAACGTCTTTCAACAGTTATAGTGCTCTGATGATGGATGTACTAAGTTCCGTACTGTCAGTTGTAAATGTCTCCAGCCATGACCGTACATTGCATTGATTATTCTTGAATTGCAGTTAAATCTTAGATTCGGGTGTAAAAATTTGTACAACGTACAAGGTGCTGTGATGATTGCTGTACGCAGTAGTGCTTCGTCAATTGTTAATATCTCGAGCGATAATGAGCCAGCCCTTTGTCGTTCTATAGCACCAGTATGATATAGATCATCACTAAGCAGAATAGTACAATGGCTAAAGTGCTCTCTTGGTGAATGCACCAAATACCGTACTGGGTATTGCAAATATCTAAGCCCACAAACGATGTATGAATTGCTTACCCTGGAACTATCGTGTAACATAAATCATCACTAAAATGGTTAATGCATCGGCTCGAGTACTGGTATGATGGCTGTACTTAGAACTGTGTTGTCCGTTATTAATACTTCGTGCGGTAATGGATAAGTCCTTTGTCATTCAATAGTTGCTATATGACCTGCATTGTCATTGAAGATGTTTATTCAATGGATACAGCGCTCTGTTGCTGCCTGTACTCAGTACAGTACTGTCATGTGTAGCTACCTCTAGACATTACCATACTATAGATTGGTTACTCTAGAATTGCTGTTAAATTTATGTTATCAGTGAGCTAGTTAGTTCAAAGGCGAATTTACTGTGATGATGGCTGTACACAGTACGGTTTCGTCAATTTTATAATATCTCGGGCGATAATGGGTCAGTTCTTTGTCAATCTATAATTACAATTGAACATAAAACGTCACTGTACGGAATAATACAATGGCCAAGGTACTCTACTGGTCTTTATGCCGCTTACCGTACAGGGAATTGTAATTATCCCTAGGCGTAACTGTCGCATACATTGATAATTCTAGAAATACCACGGTATATAAATCGTCACTGGGAAGCTTAATCCAACGCCTACTGCGCAGCATCGGATAATGCGCTAACTATCGTACTGGCAATTATAAATATCTTTATATATATCTGATGTGCGCATTGATTGTTCTATATGCACTACGGTATATAAACCTTCAGTTATCAAATTAATCCATGGACAACAATACTGTGATGATGGACCTACATAGTTCTGTTGGGCCAATCGTTATTGTCAAGAGCTGTAACGGATGTGTCATTTGTTAATCAAGAATTGCTATAGAATTTATGTCATCAATGAGCTAGAAAATACTGCGGCCACAGTGCACTGTTTGTGGATGTACAAGGAACGTAGTGTCATTTGTAAATATCTGCCGCCACAAATATACTATATATTGATTACTCTATAATTGCTGTTAAGTTTGTCTTAGCAGTGAACAAATCAGTCAACGTTAAAAGAGCACTGATGATGGCTGTGCACATTACTGTTTCTTCAATTGTAAATGTATGGAGCTATGACGGATCTGTCTCTGGTCATTCTAGATCTAAAATCCCCATTGGACAGGTTAACCTAACGGCTGCAGTGCACTGATGATGTATGTTCTGTGCACCGTTCTACCATTTGTAAATATATCTAGCGATAACCGTACAAAGTATTGATTATTCTAGAATTGCAGGTAAAGCTAAATTGTTTGTGGACTTTCTAGCCCACTGTCTAAAGTACTGTGACCATGGCTGTACTCTGTACAGTTTCCTCAATAGTTCATGTCTCAAGCGATAATGGCACAGTCCATTGTCAATTTAGAGCTGCTATAGAATATAAATCATCTCTGAAAAGATTAATACAATGGCTGTAATGCTGTACTGGATAATGCACTAACTACCGTCCTGGGAATTGAGAATGCTTCTAAGTATAACTGATGTATACAATGATTATTCTAGAACTACTGTGAAAGTTAAGACACCAGTGATCAAATATATCCAATGCCTACGGCATTGTGATGATGACTGTACTTAGTACCGCGTTGTCAGGTTTTAGTACCTCAAGCTGTAATGGTTCTGTCTCTTATCACCCTAGGATTGCTATAGAATTTTTATCATCTTTCAATGGGACATTCCGACGTCTACTGTGCTTTCCTGACGGAAGATCTAAGCCGCACTGCCAAATGTAAATATCTCTGAGCATAATCGTGTAATACGTTGATTACTCTAGCCTTGTCTTGGAACATGCATCTTCAGTGAACAAATTAATAAAACGGCTACAGTACAGTGCTGCTGGCAGTACTTAGTACTCTTCAGTCACTTGCTAATATATAGAGCGATAACGGCTCAGTCTTTTGCCATTCTAGAATTGCAAAGGGAATGAAATCGTCACTGACCAGAATAAGTAAATGGCTACAGTGATCAGTTGATGGATGTACTTGGTACAGTACTGTGAATTGTAAATATCTCCAGCCACTACACCTTACTGTACAGTGATTATTCTAGAATTTGTTCGAAACTTTCATTACCAGTGCGAAAAGTAATGCAACTGCTACGGCAATGTGATGGTGGCTGCACTCATTACTAGGCTGTCAATTGTTTATATGTAGAGGGAAAATGGATCTGCGTTTTGTCGTTCTAGGATTGCTATAGAATCTACGTCTTCTGGGAACAAAGTAATACAAGGGATGCAGAACTGTGGTAGTGGCTGTACTCTTCAGTGTGTTGTCAATTGTTAAAACTTCGAGCGATAATGTATCTGTCGCTTTTCATTCAAGC